CGCACTCCACACTAGATCATCTTTTGCTGGTTGTCGGGGGATGGGGATCGCCATAATTCTGTCTCGATCTGCCAAGGTGAAATTGTTTTGAATCAAATTCCACCTCCATACCCTATCTTCGTGGTTTATAAGGTCCATAACTCTAGTCAAGCCTCCTGATTGTGGTTTTGGAGACAAGACTCGATAGTTGTTTTCCTCAGCTCCTGCCACCCATTTATCTTTCCATATGTCGATTTCCGACCCATTTCCTACTCTCCATCGAGTCCCCTCCCTGACTAAATGTTGAGCCGCCATCATACTCCTCCAAGTATAACTTGGATTATTCCCTAGTCGAGCTTCCAAAATGGTCGAATTTGGAAAATACTTAGCCTTCAGCACCCTGCCTGCCAAGGATTCTGGATTGTGTAACAGATTCCAGATTTGTTTTCCTAGCAAGGCTATGTTGAATTTATGTAGCTCTCGAAAGCCCATTCCCCCATTCGACTTTGGTTGACACAATTTGTGCCAAGCTCTCCATGGAATCCTCCTTTCCTCTTTCTGCTGACCCCACCAGAAGCTTGCAATTGCTTTTCTCAGTTCTTGAATAACACTATCTGGTATTAGGAAGACCGACATAGTATAAGTTGCCTGTGATTGAGCCACAGCCTTGATAAGTGAAGTTTTATTGAGTTTTCAATAGTTAAAATTTACCGCTCTCTTCTCTTCTGCAAAACGTATAAATGTGTGCTGTCAATTCCAGCCCAACGATACAGGGCCCAATCAACCATTTAACGCCTGTCCATAAAAAGCCCAGAATTAGTAGATTTTGGTTGGAAATTAAAGCCTATAATCTACACTAGAATTAGTAGATTTTGGTCGCATAAAAATCCTTATGATAATATTTTTTCATTGTTGAAGAGCAGTAATACGTTGATATTCCAACGATCGAGATTAGTCAATTGACTTGGGTGTTGTTTATGAAAGAATTTGGCAATATGTCAAATTAAAGTAATATGTCATTATATTCGACAAACCTATTTCAATTGAATTAGTGATTTCCATTACATGTTTAAAAGACATATGGGGAATGAAAATTTGTTATCTTCAACCACAACCATAAAAACACAAAGTAGTTTTTACCAAGTACCAACTACGACAAGTTGACAACTACTACTAACAACATGAACAAAGTCACATAATTTTAAATATAGATTCAATAAATTTGAACGTGGTGAATTTTTTTATTACAAGTCAAATTTACGGGCAACGGGACGGACACAAGCTAGTGTATTATTAAGTGGTAGAGCATCATTTGGTCGGGAGAACAGAAAACGATTAGAATGAATGGACAAAAATACCCCTAGCGGAAATTAAAGGGAGGCCAGAGATTTTTGAATGGCGAAAAAGCAGCAAACTTCACCATCTATTATTCTTTTGATTTGAAACCTAACACATAATTCGAAATTATGTGTTAGTTTTCAACTAAATTTAATTTTGTAACCATATGACTTACTCATTCGTTAGTAACGATTTTCAATATCAGTATTAATAGCTTAATTTCATTTTAATGTTAAATCCGATAATTGTCAAAATTTATGTTTTAGGTTTGAACGAAATACAACATTCATATGAAAACTTTTGGATAATATTTGATACTGAAAATTGAGTCTGAAAATGATTAATATTTTTGTGTTTGTTTTCAATGAAATACAATTTCGTTATCAATGCTTTGATATATCGTTATTTATGGTTTGGTGTTGGGGTGTGAATGTTGGTTTGCTTAACTAATACTTTGCAGCCCCATGAACTAAAATTTGCTTGATTGAATCGCCAATGCACTGTGATGTGACTTGAATCAAATTATATGGCATCAAGTGGAAGAGTTAGGGCAGTTGGACGTTCTATAAATACTTTCTCATACTCCTCTGTAATCTGTATCGAAATATCAAATATCTTCAAGTATAGTGAAGCTGACTCTCTCTGCCCGTGGACTAACTAACAAACATTATTTTAGCAATAATGAAAAATTATGGGTGTGTGTGATTGTTCATTCTCCTGTTTCTACAGCACAGAAAATTATGAAGAGATTTACTTAACTCACCCAGAGACTTATAGCCTTGCGACATGAAATTTTCGAAAATGGAGAATCTAGTGGCCTATGGCCTATAGAGACTCCAATTAGGGCTGCAAATGAGCTGAGCTGCTCGAGAGCGGCTCGATGTTCGACTAAAAAAAAACTCGTTCGAAATTCGGCTCGTTAATAAACTAGCCGAACATGAGCTAAACTTTGTTCAGCTCGTGAAGCTCGCGAGCTAGCTCGACTCGGTGGCTTGTTGAGCTAAACTCGTGAACTGGCTCGTTTAGAGCTCATGATATGTCTCAACATGTGGCTAGAGAGCCAACTCGATTACCGACTTATGGACGAATCAATCTATATCTTATGATTTTAATTCATATGATTGTTAAATTATATATCTCACCATATATCAAGTTTAGCACGTTGAATATGTGAGCAAATTTATCTTATTTTCTATTTAAAAAACTTCAATACTATGAAATAACAAGATTTGGAGTAATTAAATTTTTTTAACTAAATGATATATCATACTAACAAAGTATAATATGATATTAGCTAACAAAATAAATCATATGTATCATGATATACAAAATGAAGTACCAAATAAAAGTCAATATTTTAGTAAACAAGCTAGTTCGAGCTCGACTCGACTCGGTTCGTTAATAAACGAGCTGAGCTCGAGCTCCACTCGTTATTAACGAGCCGAGCTCAAACTAAAATAAAATTCGACTCGACTCAGCTCGGCTCCTTTGCTGCCCTACAATGCCTATAAGAAATAAGTATAAACGCCGTACTCTCGAGTAGAGAGCCTGCAAGTGGGCCTATAGTCAATCGTTATTTTGGCCCATTCACGAAGCCCACATGTGGGCGTGGCCCATTCTTCCATCCGCCCATGCAGCACTAGCTAGACTCGTTGTTTTGAATTTTGATGTTACAGTTTGTGGTCCTTTATGTAATTAGCCGTCTGTTTATGTTAATATTTGGGGATTGCTATTCGTCGCCCTAAAAATCCTTATTCGTCGCCCTAATTAAGTTAATTTTACTTTAATGTCCTTAATTATTTTATTTGTAATTTAAATAAACACTTAAATCCAAAACAAACTTATTACTGGAAATAAATAAAAAACAAACTAATTATTGTAAATTATGATTAAGTAATTAACCCAATCTTATTTTGACCTAAAATGATTCATGTTTGACTTGCGGTCTGCATTCTGCAATGGTAAAAGCGACTATCAATCAACCACAGTAAGCTCTGCGCGACATGGTTATCTCCAACTACGGAAAATCATTTAATGTCACTGCTTTGATTACCCAAACCGATGTCGTACCCAAGCCTTAACCTACTCAGGTGGCCGTGCCTCCGGCTTCCACGTCGCCGACGAGTGATTCATCAGCGGCTGGTGAGCAGCTTCCTCCGCCTCCGGTGGCGGAATTGGATCGGCCGGTTGGGATTATTGATGGGGATGGGAAGATGAGCGATGATTTTGAAGTTGGTTAGGTGGATCCGGATGTTTTGGAGAATTGGGGGAATGAAACTGAGATCGAGAGTGAAGGTGGTGAGGGATTTGAGCGGCATTGTCCTGAGAAAGGAAAAGAGCTGAACTGCTTGGTTGTTCAACCCAAAGGATACCGCCGCCAACTACTTCCATGCATAGTTAGTAAATACTCCGTTTAATACACGTATATGTACCCGTACGTACTTTATCCGTTTAAAACTTCCGTATCCGTATTTTTGTCAAGCCGTTTCATTTTTGTCCGTTCATTTGGTGGCTTCCGTACTAAACACGTATAAAATCCGTATACCACGTTTTATATCCGTATTTAATGAATTAAATTGTTAACTTTACTATTATTTATATATTTATTTATTTTAAAAAATAATTTATTTTATATATTTATGACTATTAACGTACTATTAAACGTAACATTAGCTTAGAGATGAAGTAAAATACTCGTACGTATTATATCCGTAACTTTCCCGTACCGTATTTTGCTAACTATGCTTCCATGGCCCCGGTCCTCGGAGAATAAAGCAAATTGGCTTTTCGGCAATTGCTTGGCTTAGGATATTAGGATATAAATTTTATCGAGGGTAAATATGTCAATTTAATGCATTTTAGGGCGATAAAATTTAAAATTTAGGGCGACAAATAGCAATTCAGTAATATTTTCGTGAGTTAATAGTAATTTATGCCCCTCTACTATTGTATGTTAACAAATGTATCCCTTTATTATTCTTTTACACATTCATACTCTTTAATGAGGACTGTTAATGAACCAAGCCAAATATCATAAACGACTCGGCGTTCGACTCGAAAAAACTCATTCGATACTCAGACTTGTCCTAATCGAGCTGGCTCGCGAACAAGCTCATTAATTAAATGAGCCAAACTCGAGCCATATCATATTCAGCTCGAAAGCTCGTGAACAAACTCGTTTAACTTATTTCATCTAAAATAAATTTAAATAGTTTATTAATTTAATTAAAAAAAAACATCTACACAATCCCCCCACCGACCCCATCTCCCATCCCGGCGTCCTTAGCTCCTACCAAATTTGATGATTGTTGGGAATGTTATTAATTGGTATTGCATAGATTAAGTAGTAGCATATCAGTATTGTGGCGCGTTACCAAGAATTGGTACCAAATCAAACTAAGTAATGTAGTTAAAAGCGAGTTTTTAAGTAGAAACGTTTTGGTGATTTAGAAGCGTAAAATCGTAAGTTTTTAAGTTTTAAAGCGGAGTTTTTAACTATATAAGTTATAAAAACTGAGATTTTGTGTAGAACCGTTTTAGTGACCTAGAAACGTAAAATCGTAAGTTTTTAAGCGCGATTTTAACTACATTGAAACTCAGTAGTAGCGCACCAGCATAATGACGCCCAACCCTGGCTCAAACTGAGATTAAGTAGTAATGCACCAACATTGTGGCGTGGTAATCTCAGTAATGCACCAACATTGTGGCGTGCTAGCGATGACGTCCAAACTAAAATGAGACTAAGTAGTAGTGTTGCAGCACCAAATCCATAATACAACAAAATCCATCATAAATCCAAAAAAATTTAAAACTCAAAACCTTTATTTTCAAAACCTTTCATTTTTAGTTCATGTTCTATTATATGATAGATGCTGCAGCAGCACCAAATTCTCTCTACCTTCCCAGTATTTTCGAAACAAACCGAGATACTTACTACGAACCACCTCTATCTAGTTCAAGCATGGACATGGAAGCCTTCCATTCGCACATAAGAAATTTGGGTTCATCAGTAAAATAGGATTGGATTGGTTCAGTTCTAGTCCAATAAGCCAGCCTTCTTGTAGCTCTCCACGGCGTCCACCAGAGTTTCCTGCAGTGAACGGTATCTCCAGCCTAGCTTCTGCAACTTGTCTGAGCTCATTTCTTTCTTCTGATGTACCTCTGTAAAGCTGCCAAAAATGTTATGTCAACTATATTATTAGCCCGTTGAAAAGGAGAGGCCGATGAGCACACTCAAAATCAAGGCTTATAAAAAAGATAAAAAAATGTTTGTTGAGAGTGGGATTTGAACCCACGCCCTTTCGGACCAGAACCTTAATCTGGCGCCTTAGACCAACTCGGCCATCTCAACTTGTTGATGGTCGATGTGCTAATAATTTTTTAGTTACTTTGTTTCATGCATGGTTAGTCTGTATTGATACAAACCCGGTCTCCAAGAGGAACAAGCCTTATATCCTTATTATATTAGAATTATTATTAGTGTTAAGGTAGTAGTATTGAAGTTGCTATTAGGGTCTTCCAGTATTTCCTATAAATATGTAATTTGGATATTCAGTGAAAGACAATCATGAAACAAATTAGTAAAGTATTTTTCTAAACCCTAGCCTCTCGTCTCTTTCTGTCTATCAAGGTTGCCGGTCATTCTACTTCTCTCCTTTTGTTCTTCCACAATTCTACTCGAATCTCTAATTCTATCTTATAAATCCCTAATAAGTCTCCAATTTTGATCTCTATTCCCAAATTCACAAGTGTCAAACCGACCCCAAGACCACTAGATCCACGGCTTCTAATAAATAAGAGTACATAAATATGAAATGGCTTACTTCTTAGGATAATTGTAGTTGGGATACTTTTCCTTCAACATATCAACTATGTCCTTGACATGCACGGAATGCGAACTACATATGTATCTGCCTTGCGCATCAGGTTTCTCGTAAGCCAAAACCAGCGCTTCAGCTACATCCCGAACATCCACGACCAGAAAATGCCTATTATCGACCATGTCCTTCCCTTCTGCATACACCAGCAAATAGAGTTGATCATGAATGAGAAGATAGTAATATTGTTCCAGCTGCGGTAGCACAGCTAATACGAAGATCGAAACCCATAAACCAACTCTGTAAACAAGTCGTGCACAGGATAGCAATGGCCACTCGCTATACCTTTCAAAAGCTTGACGAGCAGCAAGGTGCTCGCGTTCACAGTAGACTGCAGAATGGGACCCAAGATGAGATTGGGGCAAACGGTTACAACATCAAGTCCAGCGGCTTTCCCATACTCCAATGCCTTACTCTCAGCTTCAGTCTTGGAAGCACAGTACCAATTCTGTAGTCAAGCAACGTGTTAAAATTAACATATAGGTTCCTATTAGAGTTGCAGATATAAAAGCATGTCTTCTATATCTCTCTTTCTGCCCATAAGAGAGTAGTAATAACCAGACCTCAGTAGCTCTGCAATGTTCAGCGTCGGACCAGCAAGACTCATCGATGACCTGACTATCAGTCCAGGAAGGGTTCATTATAAGAGCAGCACCAGAGGACACAACCACAGCTCGCTTGACCTTGGTCTCGTTGCATGCTTTGAGGACATTCAGGGTTCCTGTCACTGCTGGCTCGATTAGGTCAACCTAAGAACAGAGCTTTGTGTGAGAAAGTCGCTTCCTTTTGTTTGTGGGGGGATTTGAATTGTAATCCACTGAAGAACCCAGAAGCAGGAAAGGGAGAAATAGGGAACTGGCCTGAGGGTTTGGCACAGAGGAAGAGGGAACAGGGCTGGCGACATGGAAAACACCCGAGCAGCCTTGAATTGCAGAGACCAGAGATGGGTAATCCAGCAAATCGGCCTTCACGAGCTCCAGATTCGAGGATGCATTTGGGAGTTGCTTCAAGTGGGCATACTTTCCATCCACTATGATATTCAGTATTCACAAGTCACAATCGATCAAATTGAAGTAAATTCTAGCGAAGGAAGCTAACTACGAGTTAGAATGAAGGTGATAGTTGGGGTTTTATGAACTTACAGGGATCTCTGACGGTGCCACGGACTAGATAGTTCTTGGAGAGGAGAAGATGAACAACCCAGGAGCCCAAGAAACCTCCGGCGCCGGTGACGCACACAGGTCCCTTCGCCGACGACATGAGATCGTTGAGACTCGGAGAGTGTGAGAAGCAGGGAAAGGCGAGGTTCTTGTCCAAATCTTACTGTTGCTTTTTAAAACCCATTTTTTGGAAGCTGCCATTAGAGCTGCTTGGTGGGGACTTGGCACCAACTGCTGTAGTGTCTCGAATCATCCGCCATCTCCAAGTGGCAGCAAGGCAAAGCCCTTGATGCCGAGTCGCAAGAGTGGACGTGGGTCGGTGCAAAGCCGGTGCTTTATCCTTTTGTGTGGGTCGAGGACAAATTGGTTTTTGATACTACTGGACGAAGTGGGAATTCAGCACGGTTGATGTCAAGGCATGATTTTGATTGCTGATTTCCTGCTTGATATTGTTGGCTTACAGTTTATGGTGATTATTGTAAAGCTACCACATGAAGCATTCAGTTGCTACAGGGAATCAAATGATGTTCTTCATTATTCTCATTATATAACCGCGGTATTATTCAGTTGAAACATCCAAGAAAGTGACAACATGTGTATTATTTTTTTTTCTGCAACTATCTACAACTTGCTTAGTCCATGCAGTTCCCGCCTGATTTGATCCCTCAGAACTCGCCTCAGCAACTTGTTCGAAGCAGTCCGGGGAAACTCTGCGACGATCTTAACATGTCCAACCTGCAACTCGATCGCGCATGAAAATCCCCACACCCTTAAGTCATGTAACATGACCAACGTGCAACTCGATCGAACATAATAAACTGGGGATGAGAGTATAAGAGGGGCAAACCTTGAAGAGTGGGTTGAGGTTGGTCTGGATGGCTTTTGAGAGCTTCACTCTCAACTTGTCACTTTCCCCATTAAACCCATTCTTCAGCACCACAAAGATCACCAACACTTCTGGGCCACCTCCCGGTGGTGCCACGCTCACTGCAGCGGTCTCCAGGATGCCTTCGTCAGCTCGATCACACACACGCTCGATCTCCACCGAGCTCGTCTGCAATGTCGATGACAAATCATATTAAGAGTGAGATCCGAAAAACCAGATTGGTTATTGTATATATGCAAATGTATTACCTTAATCCCACCAAGGTTCATGGTGTCGTCTGCCCTGCCCTGCACAATGAAGTAGCCTCCAACAGTCCTCTTCAGGATGTCTCCATGTCTCCTTAGTTGCTGTCAGAGTAAAAGAAATACACACAATGAGTGGCTGCCAGCATAACAAAGCTTCAGTTAACAGATTGGAAGGCATAAGTATGCGAAGAACCATATCATCGTCATAACGTACCATTCCCTTGACAATCGGCATTCCCTTGAAGTATACCTCATCATGATCAGCATTGAGCAGTCGATCAGATGCACCTAGGTACACGGGGTACAAACCCACTTCACCTACGCAAGGTTGATCACCTGGCTGCACGTTTGGATGGAAAGATCTATTACACACAAATATACAGGGGATGAAATATCTTAGACTGCTCTAATTAGCTCACTCTTTCACCTTCTGAAAGAGAAACATGGCCCATACTCCTTCATAGACCAAAGTAGCAAACCAATAGTAGAGTGTGTTTTATATCCGGGTATTCCGTCATTGTACTTACATATGGAATCCCTTCCTCATCAAGGATAACAAGTCCTGTTGTCATCGACGCCGTGCTAAATGCTCCGAAAGCCTGTGGCTGTAGCACACTGCCTTGGATATAGGATGAAGCAAGTTCAGTGCCTCCACAGCATTCGATAATGGGATTGTAGTATGATTTCGAAGAGAGCCAAAGATCGTCATCAACATTTGAAGTTTCTCCCGTGGAACAAAAGGACCTGCAATTAATTTACTATGTTTCTTAGAGGACCTTCTCCCTAAAATCCATTTGTGCTTTCAACAGACTAGGTAGGGATATCAGCAACTTTACGAAGTACTATTCCACTTAACGATAGTTAACCAACTATATCTCTAAAATTTTGCATATGTGCAAGTAGACACATTCGAGCAACTGCTGCTAAGATTAAACAATTCTCCTGAACTACTAGGATTAAGCAATTGCTAAAAACATTAGAGAAACGCAGCAAAACTTGGATTATCAATATTCTAAGGGATTACCTTATTCGTGTCCAGTCTAACCCTTCCATGCAGTTGGAGTTTTTCCAAGTTTTCACTAAGCTTGGAACAGTTCCTAAGACAGTAACACCAGCATCCTGGCAAAACGTGATCAAAGAATGCACCATAGCTCTGACTTTGAACATGATCTGTTACTTTGAAATAATAGATATTACATCTTGCTTTGTAGCAGAAATTTGTTTACCTGAACAAATTTCCCGAAGTCGCGGCCAAGGGGAGATCCATGGAAGAGAGCAAGAGTTGCACCAGTTAAGAAGCAAGAATAGAGCAAAATAGGTCCCATGACCCAACCCAAATTTGTAGGCCAGCAGTAGACATCACCAACTCGAATATCAACGTGAGCCCAAGCATCGCTGCTGCATCGAATTGGTGAAAGGTGTGTCCATACAATTGCTTTAGGGTCTCCTGAAGTACACACAAATGAAATGAGTTTGATCATAGCATATGTTTGCAAGTGAAGTGGAAAAAATGTGAATAATTTCTCCACCTGTAGTCCCAGATGAAAACAGAATGTTCGTCATCGAATCAGCTGGTTGATAAACAGGAGAGTAAACATTGGGTCTGCCAGGAAGTATAATTTGTTACAACACAGGTATAAAAACTAACTTTAGCACTTACAGCAATCTGAAGCGACATTCTACCTTTCAAGGTGGTTGGCTCTGGAAAGAAACTTTTTCCATGAAAGATCCTGCTTTTGCAACTGAATGCCTACGTCATTACCCACCGCAGGCAACACAATCGCTTTATGAGGCCTAGCTTCACTAACCCGACTTCAATCATGCGTAAAGAAGAAAGTAACAAGTCTGTCAGCAAAATGCTGTTGGGTAGAAATTAATGAGTATAAGCATGGAGTATCTAACTACTAAACATGTCCTTAACTCTGCTTTCATGTCTAGTACAAAAGTAACAATAAAATAGAATACACAACCCGATAAGTTGACCAAGAAAAGTAATTACTTCTACTACAACACTACTACGGACAACAGTAGTCACCTGTACAAGGGAACCTTCCGACCTCCTCTGAGAATGAAGTCCTGAACAAAGACAGAACCATACAGAACTACGTGAGAAAGGGTTCAGTTGAAAAAGTATATGCAAATGAAACAAAAGTCCGGTTGTAACTCCAAATCTAAGACAATCTTAATTCCTGAAAGCTGACTTGCATATTTCCGCTGAGATAATAGGAACTTGATATTTGGATGCATTAGAAGAACAAAAGCTCAAACCTTTTGCCATTATTGTCATTAAACCTTAACCAACATGGAAAATGAGAAACCACCAAAGGGAAGGTAACCTGTGTGAAGATGCCCTTGGCATTGGAGATGCGCAAACGAGTTGCAATTTCCTTCGGAGCAAAGCTGTCGGCTATTGATACCACAACGTAACCTGCAAATACAATGGCCAAATAGATGATAACAGAATGAACTGTCATAGGCATGTCGATGGCAATAGTGTCCCCCTTCACAAATGTTGTGTCTAGAGCATTAGCAACCAACCTGTACATCACATTGAAAAAGAGAAACCATCCATGAAGAATATCCCATTTCGTTGGACATAAATCCAGCAAGTGACAGACCAAAGTGACAAGAACCATTACATTACTTGTTGTCGGAGCTCTTTCAACGTCATTTTGTTCACCACAGAGGAATCAATTTCATCCCTCCATACAATCGCTACACTATCGTCATTTTTCAAGGGACGAATCCCAGGCTGCAAACAGCAATCAGCAATATTCATAACTGCACCGGGCAGCCATGTTCCACCAGGTTTTGATTTGTCACTAGTGTCAAGAATGCACTTTGGCTTTTCATGAAAAGACACCGAAAGCTCTTCTAGAACGATTGCCCAATAAGCCTGGAAACACCAATTCCAGAAAGAAAATAGTTGCATTCAGTAAAGATAGGCAGGACTGGTGGGAGACTGGTACACATATGAAGTCATACCTCAGGGTTTATGACACTAAACTTCTGGAATAGGTCAAAACTTGTAAGGGGGTCCTTGTAAGAAGCCCCTAAAAACTTCGGTCCATGAGTTTCCATTGCAAGTCCCAAGCTTGTACGGGTTGACTCATCCCTACCATTAAAATCATTGGTTGAACCCATTGAGAAGAGAAGCTTATCCTAATTGCAGATATTAACTAAACTATCCATAGAACAACAGAACCCATTTTTCTTAACTGTGAAAAACAAGAACGAAAGACCAGTAAAGCAAAACCATTAACCAGATTGGGGCGAAAATGAAACACACAGGAATAGAAGAAGAAGGGAAACTTACTGAGAAGGAAACCAGTAAGGAGGAGGTCCACGAACGGAGGAATCCCAATTGGAGTAAACAGAGTAGTAAACCAGCTGGTGGAGCTTATGAGGGTGACATGGCTGGAGAACCCTCTCGCCCACCACCTTCCGCCACACTTCTGTCGGGTCAGCAGGTTCAGAGCTCGACCCATTTGCCAAAAAGATTGCATTTTTTAGCAGGTGATGGAATCTCCTAGCATCCTCGACGGAAAGGCCTGCCCTGACAATGTCATGGACCCCAATTTCACTAACCCCTTTCTTGTTGATCTCCATTTCCACAACTGCTTTTGGAATCCGTCTCTGGTTTCCGCTGGGCTTGTTGTTAATTTGGGGAAGGTTGAAGCTTTGATGGTAGCAGAGAACGGTAGCGGGAAGAGAAGGCTGGTAGGTAGTAGAAGGAATGGACGTTGAGCCACGTGGGTTCCGTGGGCTCATGTTATGTTACTTACAAGCTACAGCTATAAATTCGGTCTTAAAACCGGTTAAAAATCCCCTCCACCGATTGCGCAAGTCTTTTGAGATACTTCAAGTTTACTTGTTTTGCTAGGTCCCGACTTCTCCTCTATGATCTTCCCATTAGTTCATACATGAGCGATAGATGTTGGAGGTGTGGGATCCTTGAGCATTTCCTTCTCGATGGTTTAGGCCATAAGGTAGAGGAACAAAGTACATTGGACAAAGTTGAATTTTGCATCCACTTCAAGAAGTATCACTTTATTCAGTCACAACGAGCAAAGTGGTAACCATGAACAAACTGTGTATATATGCAACAACAAACAACAGAACTACTTGAAGGGCTATTTCTCAGATGATCACTTGGCAAATCTCCGAGTCCACTCTGCAGCCAGCTCGTCATGCTTTGCCCTATCCGCCAGATACAAGTGTGCAATGCCAGGAATTTGAGGATTATCTGCAGAAAACAAACCACAGAAACAAACCACGGGGTCCAAACGCTTGATCAAATGTTCAGTTTTGAATGGTTCAGGCCAGCATCATTATACAAGAACCCAGAAAGTAGGTAATGGGAGAGAATTACAAGGATCAGGGTTGGTGAAAATTGATCTCACTGCAAGTAACACTTTAGTGATGGTGAGAGCTGGACTCCAGCTATCTTTCAAGATGTCCATACTTAGATTGCCAGCAGAATCGACATTACAATGGTAAATCCTGGTTTTGAATGCCACCTGAAAAGAAAGAAACCGATGAGGCATTTCTCCAATAGTTAAAGCCACATGAAATGTTAAAGCTTTTCAGCTCTTTGTTTACCAACAGAAATGTTAACATGTTGTTCCAAGTACAAATGAGCTGAACTGGAAAAAGTTCCTACCTTTGGCGGTTTGAACGGGTAGTCACTTGGAAATATTATGTCAAGAAAAAATATACCACCTTGATAGGGTGTTCCTACAGTATTGAGTCAAAGAAGGTCATAAGAATCGGTTTGGTAGAGCTTTAACCGCGTTCAATTGGTAGTACCTAGATCCTTAAATGAACTACAATCGGCAGAAAACCAGAAAATCACCACTTCACGAAATGAAAGTATGACACAAAAGCAGTTTCTGCTCAATAACCATATGTAGCCTGCAGTAAACCCAACTCTGCAGAACATACATCAAAGTGATCAAACGCTCTAGTTTATGAAACTTAGTAGTTGTAAGAAGGATCAGAGCTAAAGAAAATTGTCAGCTTTATCATACCGGTGTAAATCTAAACAAGCTATATACATAATCTGGAACAATTGAACTCGAACATTGGAGCCATGCCCAAGATAAACACGTTAATCATGGGGGAAACGGGAACAATTGACATAAATTGACTAGCTGCAGAGAGTTGCTCAATGACAGGAGGCAGGAAGAAATGGTAAAAGAGGAAGGAAAACCTGAAGGGCCAATAATGGTGGAGACCCAATGGTAGAGATTGTCGCCTTTGGGCCCTGCAGAGCAATCAGGCGGCGGATCCATGCTGAACTCCGTTATCTCTCTCTGTATCCTCTTCCCCGATGTCGACACTGATGTGGGCGACACCCATGAATTATTCGCCGTCGCCGATGATGGTCCCCCGCCGCCGCCTCCTCCCTGCGCAGAGACATCACGGCCAGAAATCCTATACATGCTTCGGACCAACAAGCAATTTCGCGTGGAATTCGAGGTACAGCTAGCAGCAAAGGAAAATTACAACTGAACTGTGAACTCCCTGGCAAACATTTTCAACTTGTAGCACCTTCAGCCCGGAGAAATCAGAGAGGCATGCTCATCGGAGTGAAGTTCGAACTAGGGCTCCTCTCTTTTCTTGCCCAGAAAATGGTTTCCCACCCAATAAAAGAGAAAACTTTACAAATTCTCCCTCTCGGCTTTGTCTTTTTCCGCAGCTGCCGCCGAATCCCACTTGCTCTTCGCCGGGCTCTCTGGCTCCGGCTTAACAACAGGGGATATCCGGCGCCGTTTCGGGATAGGGTTGCCGCTGGGGAAGGGCAAAGCATTGGGTCGAGCTGAAACGGCGTCGTACAAGGGCCGCGAAGGTAAATTAGGACATCTCGAAATATCAGAACCGAGCAGCAAGGGTTTCTTCTCAAGTGTTGTAATTTAAGTGTGCGGCGACAGAGCACAAACCCATCCAGAGCCTGGGCACGTAGAGAGAGAGAGAGAGAGAGAGCGCAGCAGTAGGGTTAATGTGGTGAGGTTTCCTTGGCCGCAAGCTGAGAGAAAGAAAGAGAGGCAACGCGGGCTCGACGGAAGGGAGTAAGGTTAACGTATATTGGAGATTCGCTACTGATTTTGCCGACGGAAGCGAGCTCACATTCGACGGGAAGAAGGGAAGAGATACCAGTTAACGGAAGAGAGAGAGAGCGGTGACGCACGGAGGGTTCGACGAGGAGAAATCAGAAGGGGTGAAGATCGAGGAGCGCGCAAGATTTCAGCTTTCAGATTCTTGACGCCGGAATTTGAGTTGGTAATTTTCTCGCCCTTTTTATTTCGAGTCTAGAGTGGGTTTGTTTGTGATTCGGCAATGCCTTCACGCAGGATTTCTCCCGAGTTGTATGGAGATGTGCGGGCCTGGCATCTCCCCCGTGCTTGAGATGCTCGGGGCTCGAAGCCAGGAGTATTTTTTTCTGTAAAGTTGTGAACTTTTAGGGTTTGCCCACCTGGGGAGTTTGTTTGAGTAGTGAAAGGGAATGGTTTAGATTTTGGTGGTGGTTGAAATTGAAAATTAGGCTAGTTGCCTCTGAGAATTAGAATTTGGTATGTAATCGATAGACATGTTTGTGAATCTGTTGGTGGTTGCAAGTTGCTGTTCCGTGTTGCTTGAGTAAAACTGCTCAAAAGTTGTCCTACTTTTCTTCCCTTGTGATGTGATCTACTGGGGATTGACTGACTGCCTGCCTGCTGTATCTTCCCCTAACATGTTTGATATGTGTTGATCATCTGGTCTTAACCAGTGGAGAGACTACCTTCCTGTTGTAAGGATGTGGTTCTTCTGCTTGTTAGAGTGGAACTGGATTTCCACTTGCTTATCCAGTGTTTTATTTTTTAGATAGATTAGGGAGTAGTGCCTCCCTGACTTTTATTTTGTTTTGTGATTGTTAAGTGGGGCGCAAGAGTGGATAAACACATTTAGTATAGGATTCAATTGGTACAGTATCACCATGAATGTCTGTGAGGGTTGATATCGCAGGTTTTGTTATGCTAACCTGGGCGTCTGTTGGAAATTTTCAGGTAAAAGCTTTGTGAAATGCGAGGAAGGAGTTACAGTCCATCGCCCCCAAGGAGCCACAGTAGAAGGAGGAGGAGTCCAAGTCCTAGGGGACGATATGGTGGTCGCGGAAGTGCAAGAGATGAGCCTACTAGTCTTCTAGTTAGGAACCTTCGCCATGATTGCAGGTTGGTGAAAAGTTGTAGGGTTCTGATCTTCGAGTTTTACTGCAATTTCACTCATGAGAAACTTAGGGTATGCATCTCATTCTATTTTGCAGGCCAGAAGATCTTCGCAGGCCCTTTGAACAGTTTGGTCCTTTGAAGGATATTTATCTGCCCAAAGATTATTATACTGGGTGAGAATGTGTTTCTGATTATGGAATTTATTTTGGTCTATGTTACGTCTTGGTTGTGGTTCTGTAGTGATTACAGGTGTTGAGTGCTACTTGATTATTTTCTTTTCTTCCCCTCTTTGGCACTTTTACGGGTACCATTTCCTTTGTAGACCACTTGAGAAAAATAAGGAAACATGCAGTAGTTTTAGAGCTTGAATCTCTGGGATGGTAAAAATAACTGAAAAAATTAAAACTTGCGTTTCTGTCAAGAGTAATGTTACTATAAGACTTTGGTAAGTACTAAGTACATGTAATTGAGCATCATAGTTTCATAAAAGAATGGTTGAATTCCTTAGAAACTGCAATTTTAAAAGTTTCAGTTTCTGACTCAGAAAATTTTAGTATTATAGGATTTTTGTAAGTGGATGTATTAAGCAACATAGTTTCATAAAAGAGCTCATTAAGTGAATCTTGAGTTTTTATTGTAGTTCATTTTGCGTGGACGTTGTGTTCTGATCAAAGCTTTTGTTACTATGGTGTTCTCTTTATGATACCATCTCTTGCAATTAAACTTGGGTGGCAGTTAATTAAAGTGCTTGAGATGCTATAGTGAAATATAATGTTTGGAAGACATCAACCAAGTAATTAGAGTTTTCTGGAAGGTGGTGTTAATGGTAGTGAAGATTGGAAGGAAGTGTGGGTTTGAATTCATTATGAAGATGTTTCAAGTCTTGAAGAGTTTCAAGTCATCTTTTTACTAACACTTGAAGGTCAGCAAACCAGGTGCTTGCTTTCAGATGTTTACTGCGAATGACCTTTGTATATATTATGAATTGTGTTGGCACACTTTGTTCTCTAAGGATGGTAACTTCTGAGCGATTCACTATCTGCTTATGAATTGGATTCTCATCTTCCTTTTTTGTTTCTGCCCCCCTTTTTTGCAGTGAACCTCGTGGTTTCGGGTTTGTCCAATATGTTGATCCTCGTGATGCTACTGAGGCCAAACATCAAATGGATGGTCGAGTTCTTCAGGGTCGGGAGTTAACAGTTGTGTTTGCGGAGGAGAACAGGAAGAAGCCTACTGAGATGAGGACAAGGGAGCGAGGGAGGTAGGGTTCACTTTTTCACTTCCTTTGATTATTTAGATTGAATGTTCTCGAATGCAATCAAACTATATTTGAGGGAGAAGATGTTAAATTGAGATTTCAATGAACATGGCCAACTGCTTGATTTTGAGTGGGGTTTATTTTATGTCCAGTTGTGCTGATATTTGAACCGAGTAGAGTATTGTCATGTTAATTTGGTCTCGGCCTCGAGTACTAGAAAATTGTCATATACTAATCTTTCTAGAGTAGAATACTTTGGAATAAGAGGATTTTTGATGAAGTGCAAATCTACACCGTCTATATTAATTTGGACATCACATGTAGACTTCCGCTGTCTAACATCAGTGGAATGTTGGTTAATGTAGCAGTAGAGGCGGAGGAGGAGGAGGTCGAATGCGTGACAGGAGGATGTCCCCACCTCGTTATTCCCGCTCTCCCCGCTATTCTCGTTCACCACCTCCACGCGGGCGGGCGAGATCAAGGTCACACAGCGCTGGTTATTATTCTCCACCTCCAAAACAACAAAGGCGATACTCTAGGTAAGTGGTTAACCCGTTTCTTCCCTTTGCTCTTTTGTTTCCCAACAGGCAATGGATGCTTTGGTACTTTGGACTTATTCATTTGTTAGTGTCCATCTCATGTATTGTGACTTGGTTTATGATTCTGTGAGCAGATCGGTGTCACCGCAAGAGAGGAGGTATAGCAAAGAGAAGTCATTCTCGCCTCGATCAAGGAGCCGCAGCCAGACACCACCTCCAAGGAGGGCACCAAGTGAGGAGGGAAATGGGGTTAGGAGGAGCAGGAGTCCCAGCAGAAGCCGCAGCCCACCACCGCCACCTAAAAGGAGCAGGAGCCCTGCAGATGATTACCCCAGGGACAGGGAGCTCAATGGAGGCGATAGGTCCCCTAGCCCATGATTCTTCAGCCTGGATGGAGAGTTGTTATTCATGTTCGTTTTATTTCTTCTTCTAAAACGGTCACCGAGTTGTCCTGCAGCGTATTAGCGGATTTGGTATGTGATGTAGGTTGCAATATGCTTGCTTCTGCTTTTCTTTTGTCTTTGATTCGGAAACCTGTAGCATGGTTGAGCTGCTGCAACTTGAAATTCTGTTGTTTTTCATCAGACCAAGGTACTTGAACATAATGTTCTGTTTTGTACTTGAACATAATGTTCTGTTTTGTTTTTGGCTACCATTGATCACTAGCTGGTATGACTTATTGTGCTGTTTTCATGAACGTTACATATCTGGTAACTGGTATCATTAGCCTTTTCTGTTTGAGCTCTACTATGGCTTCACAATCGACACCGGTTGTACCAACTTATTCAGAAGAAAAGGGAGGGCGAGAGTTGCCCTTAGAAAGTACACTCTTCAGACATCAATGACTGGAAACGCTAGGCCTAGGGGACGTAGTACATTGGATTGGGGAACTTGAAAGACTTGGTCGCCATGGCCTCTCCCACCAAGCTGCACCACTGGTGCGAATAGTTGGCATGTAGCCTGTATCCTTCCTTCACAAGCTGCAACCTCTTCTTCGACTTGAGCTCTCTCATCTGCAACCCTGTGTCTGCTTTTTCCCTGCATCCCACGCCAACCCATATCAGTATCAACAACGAATTCGCAGTTCCTGACTTCAACAAATTCAGCTAAATGTTCTTGGTTACCCGAAAAGCAGGCGATCCCAGCCGGTGAATCCTGCATTGACAAGGTTCCTCTCGGTGGCGCTCCTCTGACCCTCCCCTCTCCCGCTTATTATGATCAACGCAAAACCCAGTTCCTTAAGCTCGTTGTAGAGCTTCAGGCTCGCCGGGAAAGCAGGGGCCACCGCCATTTCCACCCAATCAAAGTACACAGTTAAGTTCACCGTCTTGTAGCTGTGAAACAAATTAATTTATGAGGCTCGAACCGTGAATTGGGGCAAATCAATTAAAGCTGTGCAAAGTTAAGAGTACCCGAACTCGTAGTCTCGGAAGTAAGGCAAATTGGTGAGGAGGGTCTCGTCGAGGTCGAAAACCCAGGCGTCCTTCCCGTCGCCGGCGATGTCCACGGTCTTGGCGTAAGCGAGCGCGGCGTAAGCCAGCATGTCGGAATCGGCCTGGATGCCGATTCCGGTCATGTAGTCTTCCACGTACTGGCGGCACCTCAGGGGTTTGTTGGAAGCCAGATCGCCGGCATTGTTCGTTTCTACCGACAGCCTCCAGCTGTCGCAGAAGACCTTGTCGTCGTAAGCTACGGCACCGTCCTGGTGGTGGGAGGCGGCGGTGGGGAGCTGGATTGTTGACTGAGAAACGGCGGCGGTGAAGATGAGGCTGAAGAGGGAAATGAGGGGGAGAAGAAGAGGAGAGGCAGAGGGCGCCATTGGGGAAATCGAACGATCAAAATTTGGTCAGGTTAGAGATAAGAGGCGATGATAGCCATTAAAAGGCATTAGCCTGCCCCTGTATTTCTTTTGGAGCTTGGCCAGTCCTTGTGGATAGAGTACTTGTCCTTTCTTTTTCCCATAATAGTTTTGATTCTGTGAACCAAAATGTTCAGAAGTTTTTTTAAAATGGCAAATGCGACCACTAAATCCAGGTTTTTGGAGACACAATTATCTTAATAAGAAATTCACAACGTTCCCTATGGTAGTAACACATGCAAAAACTTGTGGAATATATCGATAAAACACTCACCATTTAGCTATGATCTATTTGTACTCATCGATCAATTCGTCATTTTGACGGCGCATTTCGAGTACTATGAGTTTACAATGTTGAATAATTTTGAACTTAGCAAGCTTCAACTACAAGCACTTAACAACATTCATATGCAAAACGCTGGTATTGTCACTCGCCTATTTTCTAGCTTTTTGTCAAAGATATTCTCAAATGGGAACACAACTAGATACGAATTAAAAGTCTTTGCAGGCAACCATAATAATACATACAAGAGAATGAGAAAGTGACGATGGTCAACAATTAGCCAATCATCGATAAGAGAACATTTTTCGTCACAGAACGGCTCTTAAACTTACGTAAGTCCTGCCAACTAGCCTACGAAGCACATCTTTACTCAATGAGAACAACAGAGCATGAAAAATGACAGAACCAACGAAAGCCATGCTAAATGACATCCTTACAAGAAACACTCCCACTTGGTACTAATTTACAACGAAATCCATCCTGCTCGTTAAAAGTTTACGGACAGATAGATACACGAAAAAACTAGCTAGTTTAAGATTCACGATTCTTTGCAGAATTCGGGGACCCTTCAAGCTCAAACTATAGTTGTTTTTGCACAAGATTACAGTAGCGGGAACATATGTCCTAAGATCTGGGACAGTGCTTGATGCAGTGCACAGAACAGTTAATAGCCAATACCAGTGGGAAAGCTTGGGGCCTTCTTTTATAAGCAGCGATTGTACAGAAATTCATGTGACTGAGTTCTTAAAACATGCACTACCAGAAAGAATCCAAGTAAAAGGAACCATACAAGCTTAGAACCAGTCATAGATCGAACACAAACTACCATCTTCATCTGATTGTTGTGTCCTTAGTTCCAAGTCGTGCCTTGAAAACCACTTCTGGTCCATCTATAGTCTGAGAACTGAGATTTAAGCATGATTGGATTCGACGACCCTTCTCAATAGCAACAAACCAACACATCTAAAATGGGCAACATCAGAAGCATTATGTGAATATTGAGCCAGAATCAGGAACTGTAACCATAATGGATTCGGCAACTTGGAAGTTGATATCCAGCTCCCATTAGGAACACCCAATTCGAAATATACGAAATTGGCACCAAAAGAAGGGAAGGGGAACTACTTTGGAAAATATGTCTCCATACCCTAGGCTTAAGAATTGGACTCATAAAATAAAATGTACACAGAATCATTATATCGTATTTCTCAATAATACCGACAAGATGAAACAATTTGGAACAGTACCTCGATCACACAGTCTTAACAAGGTATCTGATTTCTGGATGGACTCAGGGAAGCAAGTAGGGCGAACTATCATGTCATTGCATCCAGTTCTGCAATCTGAAGCCCTAAAATAGTCAGTAGAAACAATAGACTCTGACAAAAGTTATCTGTGATAAGAAATGCAGTATGAGATCAACTTTCATTCCATCATTGCATTCATCACACCGCCACTGCCATAGAATTGGCCTCTTCACCTTTGTCTTAAACATGTTCTCAGTTCATAGACGCTTCACGCCTTGATTTTCAAGTTACCACCCATCATTGCATTCACCACACCACTACTGTCATAGAATTGGTCTCTTCTATTTGTTCTTAAACTTGCTCTCACTTTATAGAAGCTAAACACCTTGGGAAATCACAAAATGTGATACAAAAGGGGGAGACACTCTTGCCACAAGAAATCAGTACTCAATAAAAAGGTACCTGAACCTATAACACGCTTAGACAGAGAAATATTCAGTAAAAAGGTACCTGAATCTATAACGTACATTTCTAGAATGTTTGATTTCCCTAAATTAGAATCGCAATAAAAGTATGTTAGAATCATCCTTTATAGAGCTGTAGCGTATTATTATGCTTCGAGTTGGAAGAAGATAGATTCGTCCACATACAGAGCTGACTGGAAGTCGAGAAACGACAACAAGCCTGAACACAATTCTGACCACATTGCCTTGTACCGCACAAAACTGGAGGAGGGCTGGCAATGTGCGGCAAAATAATCAAGTGGAACTCCAACTCCAACCCTGACACCACTGGAAAAGACAGTTGAAGTAAATAGAACAGAGGAGGAAATCAAACCTGCCTCCTAGACCACAATAGAACTGTCAATAGAGAAAAGCCAAAACAACCATTTTAGCAGGAGTAGGAGCAGTGTCACTCAATAGATGCAGTGCAGGGACCAGATACAACACCCTTCCAAATGTTGTCACCAATAAATCGGAGAGCAATGACAACATGTGGTATCAAGTAAAAACCCAACTCTCAAACAAGAATAAGCACCAACCATTTTATGGATCTGCAGCTTGCAGAATATCGCAACACAGGCAGAGTTGTATCTCAACTTGAAGGCTTTGAATTGATCATAAGGAATAACAGAAAGCGCAGGCGAAAGTATTAGCAGCACTGTTATGCAAAGAACCAAAGTTTTTAGATAACCCAACAAAAAAGTGAGTAGCTCATATGAATTCAAGCGATCACTCAAGACTTAACTTTCGTACATGCTTCCTCGTTGACTAGGATCACTTGAATACCACACTAGTTTCTGGACTATAGACCAAATGGGATTAGAATCAGAACTCCTAGCTTCCCAAGCTTCATAAATGCAAGGTGTCTACACTGCAGGCAAAACTACCTCATCTGAGTTGCCAATGCATTACCTCTGGCATTGAAAAAAGCTGCAATACTAACACTGCACACATGTAGGCCACTCAACCCGGGCTATCTTCTTGGTTCTACTATCAGTAGTGAATTATATATAACAGGTCACTCCAACGAAGTCTGCCAATCTGCTTGTGCTTACTTCAAGCTCTTTCAACCATAAGCCATACCTCCAACCCAAAAAATATGAACCCTAGGAAGCATGGGAATGAAGCTCAATAACGATTCTAAAGCTGCAAACTGGATTACAGCCGTCAATCACCAGTCTCCCCGCAAAACGGACCTGGTAAATTACTCTCTGGGCTAATTTACCCATACAGATCATCCCCCTGCTATCTTTTGACACCCCAACTACAAAAGTAAACAAGAGTACAAGACAAAGAAGTCTCGAATGTTCATCACTTTGAAGTATGAATCATTGAAAGTTATGCCAAATAGTAAACACTTAAAACTTAAACTAGACAAATAGGGCATGTCATAGATCTAACACAAAGTACCATCTTTCTCTAGATGCTTGATACTTTAAAGCACTATAAGTCCAGAGCCTCAAGGAAGAATACAACAGTACACAATAGATTCATGGCACCAAACAGAGGTGGTCACAGCACTGAGCAGAGTCCGAGAACCAAGATTGAAGCATGATAGGAATTTGCCCATTTGTTGAGGTCTTCTCTTACTCGGATCGAATATAACATGCGAATTCCAGAACCCTTCTCAATACAAAAAATCAGCACATGTAAAAAGGACAGCATTGCAAGCAAAGATTTGAATATTGATGCGAAACCAGAACCTGTAACCATAATGTGTTCAACAATAGCAACATAACCTTCTTGCTTCCATAATACAAATGTTATAAGCCTTCAAGATGTCTATATACAGCTCCCATCGTGCCTAGGAACTCAATATGGTTCCTTCCATTATCAAGATAATGCAGCTGGCAGTTTACAGATGACTTAGGTTAGGAACTCCTGGTTGAAATCAGAATTTTGAAAATCGGTCGTACAGGAAACACGATAAGAACATATTAAAGGGGCCTCAAAACTTGTAACTCAAAAAGTTCCATGACTTTTCAAAAGTAATTCTAGTCGAGAAACACGTTTTCAGAGTCGCATCGAGTGTCTTAACAACACAATATCAGTTCTAACAGGTTAAAATTAACACTGATCATAATTTCTTTTTCAGGCCCCATTGCCATGAACTTCCATGAAATTTAGGTCAAATATAATAGCCGCAACTGAAGTTGGCACCAATAGAAAGGCGCAGCCTCGAACACATGACTCCATATTCAAGGCTTCAGAAGCAGGATATCAAAAAAATTGTACACAAAATCGCCAAATTCTCAATAATACCAAGTTGAAACAATCAGACCAATTGATAGGATACCTTGGCCGCAAAGTCTAACAAGAAATCTGTGTTCATGGACTTGAGGAAGCCAATCCCATCTAAAAAGCATGCATCTCAGCCTCATATTCTGCAAAAGCTCAGATTATGAATGAACACAGGATCTCGCAGGATTGTCAAGAATACCAACGAATCGAAACAATTAGAACAACTGATAAGGTACCATGGACGCAAAGTCTTGATAAGGTATTTGCATCAAGCCCATACAGCCTCCAAATTCAGCAAAACCCTCAGATCAAGAATAAGTGCACCTTGCTTCTAAACCTATAATAAAGGATCAATAGAAAATGTAGAACATTGGAAATGATGATCTGACATGCAAAATAGAGGATGAGATCAACTTTCCACTCACTCTTTGCATTCACCAAACCACCACTGCCATAGAATTGGTCTCTTCACCTTTGTCTTGAACTGGACAATGCCTACTTTATACACTTTCGGTTGAGAAATTATGCTCACACTATAGAGGAGATACTTATGCCACGAGAAACTATGCCTTAAGCCCTGTTCGATAGAAAAGGTACCTGAATTTGAAATCTGCCCACACAGAGTTAGCATATTCAATATATGTTCTCGCAAACAACTCGAAACACGCTAGGATAATCAACTTCCCTCCATATTAATATAAAGCGAAGCGACAGTTACAAAGCAAGTTATTATGCTAACTGGGAAATGGAGCAACTACAACAAACCCAAGCACAATCCCTCTAAAGACCGCACTGCACAAAACTAGAGAGCTGGAATGTGCACCAAACAATCAAGTGCAACTCCGATTCTCGGACACCACTGAAACAGAACTGAGGAAATATTGTAAATAAAACAGAGGATAAAGTTCCCTTATATGACCCCAATAGAACTATCGATAGAGAAATGCCAAAACAAACACTTCACTGGAGGCGGGACATTGACACTCAAAAGATGTAGCGCAGGAACCAGATGTACTACCCTTCCTAATGTTGTAGATAGAAGAGTTATAACAAACATGTGTCGTATCAAGTAGAATTCTAATCTCCAAACAGGAACTGAAAGCTATCATTTTACAGATTTGCTGCTTTGGGGAAGTCGTGAAACATGCAGAGATACATCTCAACTTCATCATTTGGAGTAACAGAATTAACAAGCAAAGATATTAGCAGCACTCTAAAGCAAAGAAAATTGATCTCATCGAATTGTTTTAGAGAGAACTTCGATTGCTGACTTCCTGTATATGCCAGTGTTTACATTGAGGACTAGTACAACGCTGAAGAGATGTAATAAAGCGGAAGTACATGAGTCCAGTCTAGAAAGTGCATGGTTTATGAAGATCACATAATGGAGCTCGGCTCAAGTCTAATGATTAACAAAGTGCAGCAGACAACATTATATTAAATAAAACATGCCTCTGTCACAAGGCGGCAAGAACATAATCAACGAGGCAATTTCGAGATGAATTCAACACAAATATCCCAATCATAAACTCTGCCTACAAGATGGGATAATGATTGCAGGCTCTTAAACTGCCAGCTGCATACAGACAACTTTTCAACCGCATTTATGCGATCCAAAATATAACCAAAACTTACAGACTTTACTTATGTCACCAATAGTTTAACCAGTTCAGCCACAGAGGTTTCATGTTTGCTATTTTTTCACAGCCCCCAACATTATACAAATGTATATAAGACAGAAAGAAGCCTAACGTGCACCACTTTGGATTCTGATAGCAGTAAGGTGCCTAATTTCAAAGGACTGACTAATCACCCATTTACTACCCTTAAGATTTACCGACAGAATCGATCAGAGGAAGATGCATCCACATTCACAACAAGATACCTAATCTTATGCAACCGAGGCCATCTTCAAACAAGCCCAAGTTATGCAAAAGACAGCTAGTTTAAGATTCAAGACACTTTTGCAAGCCCTACCTCAATGCTTGAATAAAGTGCAGACACATTGCATAACTAGGGACCCCTCAACTTCGATATTTTGACATTAGACTCCTTCACACTACACTGTTAGCTATTCAACCACAAGGAACCACGAAAGCTATTCCAAATTACTATATTTTACAAGCTACCAGCTTTCTGAAGTACCTTGGATTATTAAGACCACAATATATCCAAGGCTCCCCGAAGAGCAGAATAATACACAGGAAAGTTTCACGAACATCAAAGACAACCACAACAGCCAGATGTATCCCAACTCATTCCCTCTATTTTCACGATCATGTGCGCCAAGTTAGAATCGTGCTTTCAACAAAACAATACATACTGTTAAAAGGCAGTACTAGTGAGAAAGCCTGATAAGGAAGTGGTCTCACTGTGTTCTGACATGCAACTGCTAGGAAAAAAATCCATGAAATCCATACATAAAAGGAAGGGACAGCCCGGAAATCAGAATGTGTTGTACCTTGTAACACGGCCACTGAGCCATGCTACAGGTGTCATATATCAAGGTGCATGGCTCAGGAGTGTTTTACCTCGAGTTCAAGATATGTAAATCAGCTGAAGTATCTTTTTGCCAAGTCGGTAAGACTGGTTAGACAGTATGCCAGTAGAACATGATCCTCAGCAAACACAGGAATCAAGCTTAATAGTTCTAAGCTGTAGTAGACTTACATTACAAACCCTCAAGTCACCTATTGCACCTTAAAGCAAACCTTGGTAAGTAAGAGAGCATTTCCCCCTGCTACCATTTTTTAACTGCAATTTACCAAACTAGGAAAGTATACCAGAGTACAAGACAAAGGAGCATTAAACGAGCGCGGCTTTATATTTCAATAGCAACCGTGAGGAACTATACTAGCTGTAAATTTTGGAAAAAACCTTAGATCAAGAATAAGCACACTTACCCTCTAATAAACCTAATAAAATGGTCAATAGGGAAAATAGAACCTGAAATGACACATAATTCGAAGCATAGCATTAGATGAACTTTTCACTCCATCATTGCATTCACCATGCCACCACTGCCAATAAAAAGATAGCCTGAAACTGAAACGTGCCCAAACAGAAATGATCTGTTCTCCTAAACAACTCGAACCATTATGGAATTATGGATTCAATTATCCAATATGAAAGCCTGTTTGGGTGCTCATTTATGGACAACGCATTATTATGCTTGCAGCTGGGGAAAGGTAGATTCGCCCAGATATGGAGCTAACAAGGAAGGGGTGCGACGATAACAAGCCTAAGCACAATTCCTCTGCAACCGCATTACTACATGCTGCACAAAACTGGAGGAGACCGCAATAAAAACTGTCGATAGATTAAAGGTGAAACAAACATTTTAGTAGGAGCAGGGACAAGATCGCTCAATAGATGTAGTGCATGAATCTCCCAAAGGCCGTCGTTAAGAGTTTGCAGCATGAAAGGGCATGTGTGATATCAGGTAAAAGTCCGATTTCAAAACAAGAAGCAGCAATGAAAGCAACCAGTTTATGGATCAGCAACTTGGGAAAAATCGTGAAACAAGCAGAGTTATAACTCGACTTCAAGAATCTGAATCCATTATTAGGAGTAACCGAATGCACTGATGAAGGAAGTACGATAATGCAAAGAACCAATGTTTATGGATTTCCCTCCAGAAGGTTAATCGAGAACCATGAGTCTCTCCAACCAATACCATCATTGGCATGGACACAAAAACAAACACAAAGATCGAGTATGGTTAACCTTTAGATTCCTGTTCCATTCAATGAATCGCATCGTGATGCTCATCCAGTCTGAGAATCCCATTCATCTTGTTGAATCTGTTGAAAGCAGAGTAACCGGGGTATAAAACAAGAAAACTACCTCTCACATAAATACAAGGACCAGAAATATTATCTGAATCATTTTTAGAGAACTCTCTTAAACTGCCAACTGCATTTAGACGACTTTCCAGCTGCATCAATGAGATCCAAAACAAAACCAATACCAAGAGACTTGCCCGGCAAAAAACTAAATAGGTCCAATCCACCTTTTACCATTAATGAGTTAATAGTTCGGTTCGACAGTAAATTATGCCCAAGTCCAGCCAATTAGCCCACTAAGCACATCATTACTCAATGAAACAACAGAGCACATGAAATGACTGAAACAACGAAAGCCAATCTAAATAACATCCACACAGGAAACACCCCCAACTTAGTACCAATTTTATTCTCGGCCCCTTCAACATATTTTACTCGGAATAATATAACAATGGCCTGGCAAAATGCTTGTGCTGAGGGCGAAAATTGATCCAACCAGAGCACATTTTCCAACAGAAAAAATTGATCCTCATGAAATTGAAGTCAGGGAATCAAGCTCCAAAGCCCTCTATTCTAAAGCTAGCAGCAATTATCAGCATCACAAACCATCAACCATTGTACTTGATTTATTTAAAGAAAGCCACCGCTTTAGATTTTGACAGAACCTGACTAATCACGAAGGATAGATAAATTGATCCTTCAAAGAATCACAAAGGACCAGCTAATAGCCATTCCCTGCTCGTTAAAGTTTACAGACGGATAAATCGACCTTCCACCACAATGTACCTATTCTTATGCAACCTCTTAGACATATGTTAGCATGCCCAAAACTCTTTTGCATACCATACCTCCACTTTTAAAAATATGCAGCCACATTTGCAGAATTGGGACCCTTCAAGATATGGGACCTTACCTGATGCAGTACACAGAACAGTTAATAGCCAATATACGATCTGAGAAAAAGAGCTTATGGCCTTCTTTATAAGAAGCAACTGTACATAAATTCGTCTGACTGAGTTCTTCAAACATGCAACTACCATAAAGAATCCAAGGAAAAGGGAACATACAAGCTTTCATATATCTAACACAAACAACCATCTTCCTCTAATTGTTGTGTCCTTGAAACCAAAACAACTCCAGAGCCTCGGGGAAGACATAGCAATCCAAAAATGCACAGTAGGTTAGTGGTAATCACATAGGCTAGATGTAGTCTCCATCTTTTATATCCATGTCGCCCGTGGTTCCAAGTCTTGCCTTCAAAACCACTTATGGTCCATCTATGGTCCGAGAACGGACATTTAAGCATGATTGGATTCCACAATCTAAAAAGGACAGCATCAAAAGCATTATTCCAACTTTGAGGCAGAATCACGACCGGTTGTAATCATTATGGATTCAGCAACTTGGAAGTTGATACCACTGACACCACTGAAACAGAACAGATGACTCGTAGTATATGGAACAGAAACTAAATCAAAGCTGCCTCCTAGACCCGAATTATAGATCTGTCTATAGAGAAAAACCAAAACACCATTTTAGGAGTAGGGACAGTGCAGCTCAACAGTGTAGCGCAGGGACCAGATATAATACCCTTCCAAAGGCCTCCTAGACCAGAATTATAGAACTGTCTATAGAGAAACCAAAACACCATTTTAAGAGTAGGGACAGTGCAGCTCAATAGTGTAGTGCAGGGACCAGATATAATACCCTTCCAGACGCTGTCACCAATAGATTGCAGAGCAATTACAGCATGTGGTATCAAGTAAAAACAAAATTATCCCAATCATAAACTCTGCCTAGAAGATGGGACAATGACTGCAGACTCTTAAACTGCTCATGTCACTACCAGTTTAGCCACTTTGGATTCTGATAGCAGTAAGGTGACTAATCACAAAGTACAGACTAACCACTCGTTTATTGACCGGTTAAAGTTCAACGAGATGTAGCCACCTCCACACCAATATTACTAAATTTATGCAACCGATGCCATCTGTAAACAAGGCCACGAAAAAGCTAGCTAGTTTCAGATTCAAGAAACTTTTGCATGGCTTACCTCAATGCTTGAATGAAGTGCGGACACCTTTCCATAACAGGGACCCTTCAAGCTTAATATTTTGAGCTTAGACTCCTTCACACGAGTTGCTGTTAGCCACTCAAACACAAGGAACCAAGGAAGCTTATGCCAAATTATTACTATATTTAAAAGAAACCAGCTTTCAGAAGTAGCCAAATTGATCTCAAGACCACAACATATCCAGGGGATCCTGAAGGCAAACAAAGCATCCAGATGTAGCCCAACTCAGTCCCTCTATTTCTATGATCATGTTAGAACCACGCTTTCAACAAACCAAAACATTCCGATACAAAGGGTGACCGTTAAAAGCCAGTACTAGTGAGAAAGCTTAATAAGGAAGTTCGTCTCACTGGGTTATGAAATGCAACTGTTAGAAATAATCCAATCAAGGGTACGGTAAGTGTCTTAACGGGCTGGGTACTTGAAACTAACACGAAGAAGCAGACAACCATTATGTCATCTTTTTATCCCACCTATGAATTATCCCACAACGACGGATCAAATCAACTTTTGAAGCGGGACAAAGAACTTTAAGGGACCAATTTGATTATGCTCCTCTTGCTACCCAACCCATAAGAGGAAGGGCAGATTCGGATAGCATATCAACTTTTGAAACGGGACAAAGAACTTTAAGGGACCAATTTGATTATGCTCCTCTTGCTACCCAACCCATAAAAGGAAGGGCAGATTCGGATAACATATCAACTTTTGAAACGGGACAAAGAACTTTAAGGGACCAATTTGATTATGCTCCTCTTGCTACCCAATCCATAAAAGGAAGGGCAGATTCGGATAACATATCACGACTGGGAAAGTCACCAACGGATCAAACAACTTTTGAAGCGGGACAGAATTTTAAGGGACCAATTTGATTATGCTCCTCTTGCTACCCAATCCATAAAAGGAAGGGCAGATTCGGATAACATATCAACTTTTGAAGCGGGACAAAGAACTTTAAGGGACCAATTTGATTATGCTCCTCTTGCTACCCAATCCATAAAAGGAAGGACAGTTCGGATAACATACCAAGACGGGAAAGTCACCGACGGATCAAAGCAACTTTAAGCGGGACAGAGAACATTAACAGTTTGATATGCTCCCTATTGTTACAAAGGTCAGATTCGGAAAACATACCGCGACGGGGAAAGTCACCGACGGATTAAAGCAACTTGTGAAGCGGGACAGAGAACTTTAGGGACCAATTCGATCATACTCCTCTTACTACCCAATCCAGGAAAAGAAGTGCAGATCCGAAAAACATACCACGATGGGGAAAGTCGCCGGAGCCAGAGAATTCGACCCTCGACACCGTAATCATCCAGCGACCAGTAATGGCACCGAAATCAAAGTATTCTAGAGCTGGAAAGTGACGACTAGTATCGCAGGCATTTGTACAGTTTTCTCATAATTTCTAGGGCAACCGGGCAGGCGGAAACAAGACAGCTTTAACGAGCAGAGGAGATATCGATTTTCTATGAAAGACGTGAAGAATTCACAAAAAACCTAAAACACGGAACGAAAGAGGGAGAACCGACCTCATCAATCTCGTCGGCCGTAATCGGAACCCTAAAAAGGAAGAGCCAAGCCGAAAAGAGCCTTCTTGTCTATTTCCAATCAGATCCGACGCCACAACTGTAACATCGGATCCGAAGGCGGCTTTAAGTCGGTTCCTTTGCCAGCTGTACGAGGGCACGCGTTAATTGAACTGTAGGATTAAGTCGGTTCCCTTGCCAGCTGGACAAACACGTACATAACACGTATTTCACTTTTCTGGGACCTGAAGTCGGTTAATACTGCCAGCTGGACCAATTGTAGTTCCCGAACTCAGCCCATTGAGAAATATACTGCTATGCGAATTTTATTGGGCCCATTATGCGCCAAACAGTAACAAAAAGGTTTGGCCCGTTGTCGGATTTAGCTCGGGGCGTGAGTTACAACTGGATGGGCCGGCTACTTGGCTATTGGGAGTCTAGGGATAGCAACAGAGCCACAGAGGGTAACTGATCCAACTCAACCAATTATTAAAATACCGTATCGGCGGTTCGACCTGAAAAACTTCTTACCGAAAGCAAAACCAGTGAACCACGATTTTAACGTAAAATATCTTACCGCTGACTTTTCCAGTACGACCTCCGGTACAATATTTCAATCCTTGAACTCAACACAGCTAAGCGGCTAAACTTGAGACTGATGGGTTGTGGGACGATCCAGGGCCGGCCCATGATGTTCGGAGGCCCTGTTCAAAAATTTAGAATGTGGCCCACAAATTTTTTTTTTCGCAAATTGATTAAAAATAAAATTATTAGATAATAATAATAAAAATAGATAAGTTCAAAAAATTAATACAAAGTAATAATATCATCTATCATTGTTTAAAAAGTAACAACTATCTAGTATTATTTGAAATAAAATCATTTATTAACTCTTCCATCTTTGCATCATCCAAAAATTTATTCTCAATCGCCTCCGATGTCATTTTAAAACACAGATAAGACTTCAACATCGAAAAGCTTCTTTCAATAAATAGTCACGGGAATAGTTAATAACATTCTATATATGCTTGCATCAGAAAAACAATCGACATGTTTCAAAATGTTACAAAATTTAAAAGGAAGAATACATTCGTTAGTTAAAAAATACTTACACGTTTAAAATATACTTTCAACAATAGGAAGAATACTTTTCTAAATTTATTTTATAAATTTAGTTAAATATAAACCAAATTACAAAATAATAATAACTGACGAACAGATGATGGGTGGACAGAAAATTACAATAGAAAATTGATTAATTAATAGAATGAATCAAACAAAACTAAAAGAAAAGAAACAAAACAATAACTCAATTAAAAGTATTTACTTCAAACCAAGCCATTTCTAGAAATTATTAACCTTTGATAGATACACACTTTTTACCCTATTACGTCTGCTCCTCTTGGTGGAGACTGGAGTGGAGGAATTTAGGGCTGGAAAACGGTGCGGTCTGGTCCAGACCAGACCATATATACGGTTTACGGTCCAGACCAAGAGGTTAAAGTATAAACCACAGACCAGACCACAGACTATATGGTCCGGTTCAGACCACGCTTGTGCGGTCTGGTCCAGATAGACCACACTCAACGAAAAATGAATAATTTCTTTAGTCAACCACACAAAAAATTGAACCAATAAGCAAGAAAAATAATTGTTATTTGCCTTGAAACATTAATCCTAACATGTATGAATAATTTTGATACTCTAAATCTTAGTACATAACAAAGATACAAAGTAAAAGCATCCCAGCTTGCACCATAATGTCATAAACATTAACATAATGTCATATGGAGACACAATTATCTCTACTCTGTGGTTAAATGTGGTTGTGAATGAAGGAGGGAAGAGATTCACAAAATTAAGGTTGAGACTTGGGTGTCGTTGTGGGAGTTTGGAGAGTGGTCGAATGGGCTGTTAACACGTATTGACAAGTCAGTTGGGTCTACAGTTTGGTCCGGTAAACCGCGGTCTAGACCAGACCAGACCAAAAGATCAAATCATAAAATAATACAGACCATGAACCAGACCAGACCATACTTCACGGTCTACGGTCCGGACCAAACTGTGCGGTACGGTTTGGACCATGATTTTTCTAACGGTCTGGTCTATTTTCTCATCCCTAGAGGAATTCAGTACATTAATTATTAATTAAGTAATTACCTTTTCATTTTTTTTCTTCCGCTGGGCAACAGGCCAACAACTCATAACACGAGCTTGAACCTTGAGGCCCATATTTAAGTAAGTAATTACGTTTTTCGGAGAGGCCCAGTCCAAAGTCCAACGTCACAACAAGTAACAATAGGTCGAGGCCCTTATTTTCCTGAGGTTCTGTGCTGGAGGGCCTATCAGCACAGGCCCAGGGCCGGGCCTGAGACGATCGGACGAGGGCGGATAAAACTATATCTTATTATTTACTAGTTGGGTCGGATATGAGTTTTTTCAATACTCAACCCGCCTAACCGAATCACACTCAAATGAATGATCATGAAATCATATGGACTATCAGGCATCAGCTGGTACACATACAAAAATATGAAGTCCGCGGATGCAAATTGTGCAGCTAGTTGCACTAGTAAGAGCATCAACCAACAGATTACAACCATGCTTGTTGATTTATTGATATATTCATTTTATTACATTATATTTTATTATAGTAAAGCAATCTCTGTTGTTTTATTCCGTATATTTGTTGTGATATTAATATTGTTGTTATCAACTGCCACTATAAGTGTTTAAAAAAAATTTATATCAATAAAATATGTGAAATTACACTTTTTCGGTCCAATGAGTGATAAAGTAGGAAATTATGTTTTGGTGAAATACATTGAGTGTGATCTTCGTGATAGTTTGAATGATTAATGTACTTTAGAAAATGTATGAATACATCGTATATTATTGTAAATTTTAATTTAATGAAGTTTACACATCTAATTACGTTGCATAGTGATGTATATGTGGTAAAATACTATACAAGTATGTTACGTATAAAATACGTATGGATATTTTACTTCGTTTCTAAACTGATGTTACGTTTAATAGTACGTCTACAGTCATCAATATATAAAAGTAATAATTATTTTAAAAAGAAATAAATATATAAATAATAGTTAAATTAACAATTTAGCTTATTAAATATACATATTAAATGGATTATACGGATTTAATCATCTCCAAAGAATAATAAAATCAACAAAATAATTTCCCTTTTCCCTATACATTCTCATTTCTTTCTGGAAAGCACTAACTTGTACAAAATTACCAATTTAATAAATACTAACAACAACCGCAGCGAAAAAGAATTCCCCCTCCAAAACCAACCAACATTAGGATTTAGGACGTGGGTGGTGACATGCCAGCCAAATCCACCTACCGATCCATGGGCCCTCAGCCAGTAAGGCCCAGCTATTGTCCCCATTTACAGCTCAGCCCCAATCATCAACCCATGAAAGGAGGCCAAAAATCCAAATGAAATAAACAAATCAACCCTACCCAACAAATTAACCTTAAACCACTCGCTCAAACCAAACAGTTAAACTAATTTTTACCGCCCGCTCCCACCCTATTGGTCATCACAGCATTAAACTTTTTTTTACCTCCCTCACCTCACAAACCATCCTGATCATCATGGCAAAGCTCCTTCCTCAACTTACTCGAAAACAGCCTACAAGCGTCCATGCTAAGGTCGACCGCAGCGGATAGCGCCACGAACAGAGCAGCATCCCCCGTGCAGGTCACGTGCTGGACCCCGACCTGAACCACGGGCCGACTCACCTTCCCTTCCCCTTCCACGGTCGAACCCATCACGAACCCCTTCGCCGACCCCGACCGGGAAACCGGTTCCCTGACCGTCCTCCCGTCGATATCGAACCGCCCGCCCTTCCTCACCCCGACGCTCCCCTCGGCTATGGCGACCCGACCGCCGTTGCTGTCGGTCATCAGCTCGAACTTGTACCCCAGCCCATCCACCGCGCCGCCGCGCTCCCTCCACGCCTCGAGCCGGCCCCACGGCTTCCACGTGCTGACCGAGAACCCGTGCGGCCGGAGGATCAGCCAGGCCCCCGGGTTGGACCGGGACACCCGGTCCGACCCGGGCGAAGGGACGAACGGGGTGATCATCGACGCGGCGGCGACGGGCGAGCCGGAGAGGTCGTGGATCGTTATCATCCACCCCTTGCGCTCCCGCCGGCTGGCCTTCTCTCGCTCCCGGGTGGAGAAGGTTTTGGTCCACGTGCCGTTGGAGGATGCGTTGTTGAAATCTGATGGCAGAGATCTGGAGAGAAACAAAAGAAAAAATTTACAGAGGTGGGTTAGAGATGGAGAAGCTAGTTAATCACGTAATTAAGAAGATGTTGTTATCATCAAGAATCAAGATCAAACTAAAGCAGATTTTGCCACATGGTATGGATTCCTTTATGTTGGTGGTGTTGTTGTGTTCGACTGTTGAAGAGATTTGTGGAATATATTTTGGTCTTTGTTTGACCAAACTTCCCAGACTAGTTAGTGACCATTATTAAGGCACAAGACGACAAAAAGAACACAAGTTGAGCAACTTAGTTACGAATTATCCTATTAGCAACCACAGCTAAAAGGTCAGACATTTGCCAACACCATAGCATCCGATCTAATGACGCGAACTACGTGAACAAGTTCTCACAATCGTACCGTGAGCACCATAATCGAGTTGTTACGAGTGATTTTGGTACTCCAATTCGGGGGTTGGGTTGGTTGTGTCAAATTCCAACTGGAGTGCAGTAAGGTTACTAGGGAGACTTATGTGGAGTCAATTTTGGATATTGGTGGAGACATAGGGACAAGGGCTATTATGAGTTATGAGTATGAACATTATTACTATTTTAACATGATAGAAGGAAACAACACAATGATAAAAATGATGAAATAGATAAGGTGGTGGTGGGCCTTTTGGGCTGTGGCCCAAAATTTTGGAACAGCAAGGCCATGTGTGGGTGTTGGTTACCAGCTAGCAAAAGCTAATCTACAAAGGGAAAATAGATTGACAAACAAACCCACATGCCTAACAGCTTTTATCACACAACACACCAATAACAAGCCATAAATTTAGCCAATATAGGGCT